TCTTTCAAATTATCTTTCAAATGTGTTGTAGCAACCCTATGCGTGTGACATCATTTTTAATATAAAAATGATTTTTTTAAGTACACTCATAAATATTGACAATTAGGCCCTGGAGAGAATTTCACTTGATTTATAAATTATGGGAATTCACACGTCACATACTGTACAAGTGTGATTCATTTATTTCTAACTTAACCTTTTCATCATCAAATATGTGAATCTTTTAAACATAGTGGTCTTCTTTTTGGGTTCTATATAAACCTTGTACTATATAAAACATTTGTTATGCCTCAATAACAAATGAATTTGGTCTTTTTGTGCCTAAATTCTACATCTATTTTCTTCAGCAGGGAAAACGTTCTCAAAACTTTCTCAAGTACCGAAATATTCACAAAATGAAGGAAGTTCATCCTCAGCTTCGAAATCAGATTTTAAGTCTTCTACTATTGCTTTTACATTAAGGCATTCTAATTTTGGAAGCTAGACCTATAAAATTACTAAATAAGGATATTTGATCCTATGAATTCGAAATAAATATGGAGTTTTATAATGATAAAAACCCTAAGTTCATATAGACTAGGGATTTATGATATAATATAAATTTAAATGTTCATTTCTCCTTCCTATTTAATGTGTTGACTCAGTGTATCGACCCAATCCAATCAACTTAATATGTATTGACCTAGTGTGTCGACCCTATGGATACAAAGGAAAGTTGGAAAGAATCTCAAGAGGGTGCTGAATTAGTTGTTTAAAATATTATTTTCATTTGTTTTGATCTTTTGCTAAGTGGGCTGGCACAAAATTTGTTGGGTCAACACACATAGGGTTTGGCCAGAAGATAGAGTAGATGACTTAAATTTGTAGTGCTACAGCCTTCATTAGCTTATATCTACTTATGTAGGGTTATTCCCCTTAGTTTTAACTATTCTTTCTGAAAGAACTGTAGCTGAAATTCACAGATCAATAAATCTCTCTACATGTTATATCCTATGGGTCCATCTCCCCATGTGAGACATCAACACTATTTTATTCTTTCAGCTTTGTTAACAATACTCTTAAAATGCTTTCACATATGACTATGAATAGAAGACTTACATTTGATTTTTAATTAGCTTTATTGAGTTTGTGAGTACTTGAATACTTGATAAAGCTTGTGAAAAAGTTAAACTTACAAGAAAGTTTAGGTGAAATATTCTGATAATATTTGAATGAACTGATCTGTCATTGAGGGGATATTTGAAAGCTCTTGAGATGGGCTTTTATAGAGTCCTAAATCTTGATAATTTGAGTTCAAATCTCTAAGATTAAATTGTTCAAACTATATCAAGTAGACACATAGGTTTGGCCACATTAAAATTTGTGCAGTCAAAAGTGCACATTTTGTCACATTAACTCACATTTTCTTCAAAATAATTTCAATCACTTTGTATTAACAATCTAGAGTTATATTTTTATTGATAATGACTACTAAATACTCAAAATTAAAGTCTATATAATTAAGACTGCCCCAAAATAATGATTTGACGAGAAAGAGAACTGCCACGACTCATTTAACCATCTTTAGCATACAACTAAAGGTAAGAGGTTGGAATAATATGAGATCTTCTGCTACTCAACATCCTCAGGAAAGACACTGATGAATAACGTGAAATTTCCCTATTATATTTTAAAACTATAATGTATACATAACTAAAGTTAAATCTTGATTCATAATTTTAACATGGGTGCATGTGCAGGTTAGATCTTTTTTAATCCGCCTAGCCCTGGAACAGAACAGATAAAGTACACAACTTTAAATACCCCTAATTTCTCTGCGCAGTGGGTCAACTATGGCGGCAATCAAGCTGAAAGTCGTTCATCAAGAGGAAGACAGCGGGCCTTCACATTGACCTTCTCCTCGATAGCCTCTCAGTCTGACGGGTAGAGGCATCGTTGAGACAGGCCGGGTAGGACTTTTACCGAATAGTTGGTGTGCACTGTGCCTCCCCACCACCCTACACCTAGAGGTCTGTTCCTTGGAAAGAGCGAGGAGGCGGGGAGGCGAGCGAAGCCGAATCACGTGCCGGGCCGTCGGCGCATCACATGGGGGAAAGATTTGTGGTTGGGGGCAGGGGCCGGTATGGAGGGCTGGGGGAAGCGTCGTGGGGGAGGGGGGCATGCACAGGAGGGGGTGGCCTGACCTCATACAGAAGAAAATGGCCAGGACCCCGGCCTGCGTCAGGACGTGCGGCCCATACAGAGTTTAATGAAGGGAGAGACGGACTATCTCTCCGGGCAACACGTGTGTGGGAGGACCAGATGAAAGGGGGATCCTCGAAGGCTACTTGAAAACAGTTATGTAATTAGCATCGTCAATGCTCTCTCTCTCTCTCTCTATCCATCTATCAATATATATATATATATCAATCTCTTTGTCTCTTTCTCCACAGACACTCAGAAAGGCCTAAACTTTTTATCTTGCGAGACCCTTTGTACGTGAAGTGCTTCCTGTTCTTCTTGTAAAGTGGAGGTTCGCGGAAGAGGTGTAGACATGATGAGGGACATCGCAAGATGCGCAGATATAATGAGCCATATGCCCACAGTTCTCTTCAAGAACATCGATAGACAATGGGCTACACCCACAGCAACCTTAGAAAGGCTCCTTAATAAAATACATAGAAATAAAATTGCAAGCCTGGGGATTACGAAAAGGCCTTCGAGGGTTTTTGTTATTGACTGCCTCTAATAATTGTTGGACTGTCGAAGACTTCGTCTATCAAAGGTTTGGGACCAATGATGGGTTCGATGGAGTGGAGGGCATCTTTTAGGGGGGGGTGTTAGAAAAGAAGTCTTGGAGGGATGCTGGTGTCCCCATGCGAAATCCAGGTGGGTCTGCCCAAGGGCGTCCAGAGACCACAGAGAGGCCCCCAAGTGGAGTCCAACTCCTCCCCCAACCAAGATTCCTTTACACCGAGGTAGTGGGTTGTTTCCCTATCATGAATGACTCAAAACAAAAGAATATACGCCCGCAAGATGACCAAGATAATGCCCAGATTCTTCTCTCTCTGTCTCTCTATGGCTCTCTTGTAACTCTCTCTCTCTCTCTCTCTCTGTCTCTCTCTCTCGTTCTCGGTCACCCTTTACATGTGGGTCTGACAGAGATGCAGGGTGGCTGTAGGCGGAGATTTGATCTTATTTAGATTGGCAGGGGCAGTTCGCTGTTTTGCTCCCATTGGGGCGACTAAAAGCCTGGGATCTTGCCGTAATAGGGTAATGTCCCCAAGGATTTGCATATGTTTCTCGACTCTCGAGCAACCCCCGAGGGTAACCTTTTAACGTATAGAAGAAAACTCGGCCATGGATTAGTTTTTACCGATCCATTTACTGATCTCTTGCACCCTATAATGGATACAAACGTTATTTTATCAAAGGTGGAATCTCTCCTTGATTAAACTGTTACATGTAAGCAGTTCTCTGTGTCCCGAGGGGCTTTAGCCGGGGGTTTGTCTTGAAATCAGGGAGCAAGAACGTAATCTTTCTAATTGAGATTGCAAGTCCCAAGAGCTGACACTTACCTCTCTCTATCTCTCTCCTTCATTCTCCAACAGTTTGATTACCCCACCTTGACCACATGGTTGTGAAGTTATCTGAGCACAAGAATATTTTCCAGTGTAGCAGCAAATCCCTTCATGAGATGTCATCCAGGGACGTTATCGGTGAGAAGCGAAATATTTTGATGTGGCCTCTCAAGCTACCTCTGGTTTTGCATGAACATCTTGCTGTGAACCACACGGAGCTCATTTTTCATGTTTATTTGCTGCTGGCAACCATACATGGCAGAGAGAATGATTGTAACTGGCCCTCAGGAAGCGCCCGACGCCCCCCCCCCCACCCTTTTCCCCCCTCTCTCGCTCGCTCGCTCTTCTTTTCCATAAACAGCTGGTGAAAATTACTAGGCAAATTAACGAATCCCTATAGAGGCATGTAGGGACGGTGGTGTTCACATGTACTGCTCCTAGATGGGGGTTTATCCCTTGCATTTCCCATCTTCGTCTCTTTCCTTTCGGTGGTATGTCCACCGATCCCTTTGCCATGCCCATGCAGATACGGAGACATTATACAACGCCTGTCAATCAAGTGCACAGGATAAATACCGTCTTCGGAGGTGCCCTCTAAACACTGTAGCAGTCCTCGGAGATTGGAGATCACCAAGGGTTTTGAATGAGAGAGAATGAGGGTATATTGAGCGAGAGAGCCTTAACACCTAACACCCATAAACTCGTGATGCTTACTCCTTGCTGATAAGGAAACGTGAATGCAGAATAGATGGACATAAAATAGATCGCTAGGCGGCCAGCGCGACACCGACGCGTTACGTCACACCTTGCGTCTTAGTCAATAAGATCGCTTATTCTGAGAGAACTAAGCTCTGGGCGTCTCAATCGACATTAAGCTATGCCTTTTCATTGAAACAAAGGATGCGTGTAGACGGGAGACGCTCCTCGGAAGATGGCCACATGTAGGGCGTAGGAGCAGCCATGGCACGGCACTCAGGAAGAAGAAGCTATAGCGGGGGCCTTCCCCCGGGACTTTGAATGGAGATCCCGCTGCCTGCTGACATTGCGGTTCAAATATGGTTTTCCTGTAACACAAACGGGAAGAGATATGGAGAGAGAGAGAGAGAGTTAGAAAGAAGATGTACATTGATTGCCTTCTGGATACATAGTGAAACTAGTTACAAGGGCCGAGATTAATTGCAGTGGTGAGGTAGAAAGCTTTACTTTTAAGGCTTTCAACTCCAGAGAACACAGCAGGATGAGAGCGAGAGAGAGGAGAGTAGAGAGGGGGGAAAGGAAGGGGCCAAAATACAACAAAAAAGGATCGGGGGGAGGACGTAGCCCTTTTTATCTCTGGCGCCCTCTCCCCCTGCCTTCCCTCCTCTAAGTCGGGGGCTATAAATACAGACCCTCGCCGGGAACATTCTACAACCCAAAAGTCGAAATAGGTCGAGGACGTATTTACACCCTCGCGCGTCCCTTCGTCGAGACACGTTTCCAGTCCACCAGCCGCTTAAGGAACTCCATGACCTGCATGGCCCATAAGTCATTAAATAACCTAGAGAGAGAAAGCGGGTCTCGGTCCACGATCCACCGACAAACCCAACTGGTGATCCCCTAGACCAAGCCTTCCCCCAACAGAAAAGGAAGGCCGCTGGGAGAGAGAGAGAGAGAGCTTGCCTCCAGGGGCTCCCGCAGGGAATAAGATGCGCTGGTATCCTTGGGGATCTTCGACACGAGGATGCCGAACCCCTGTCCTCTCTCTCGTAGGACCTGGTGGAGGAGCGATCACATCAGGATACCAATAGTTAACGGTTTGCGTTGTCGCCCACGGAGGCGGCGGCGGTGGCGGTGGAGGACCTTTGCGGCCTCAACTACCTGCTGATATTTGAGGAGAAACCAAGGGGGTACAAAGAAAGAAAGATGGCGGAGCCGGAGTCATGGTACCTTGAAAGCGTCCTCGTCGGTCCTGTCGTCCCCAATATACACTGGCAGCACATCCTCGCTGTCGGCGAAACCTGTGAGGAGAAGGGGAAGGAGAAATTCGTCAAATCTGACATTTGACTTCAGGTTGAGTCGTCGTCCCTGGGGTTTGCAAATGTGAAGCTTACCGAGAGAATCGAGGAGGAACTCGAGGGCCTTCCCCTTGTCCCATTTAATGGAGGGTCGGATCTCCAGAACCTGCAGTGGGAAGGTCAGTCACTTTGATGCGCACATCTTGTTTACATAAATCACTGAGAGAAGGAAGGGAACCCCTTCAGCCCGCCAAGTACCTTGCGGCCTTGGGTGACCCGCAGCTTGGGATACCCCTTCAGGACGGACCCGACCTGCTCCGCCAGTCCGACCCATCTCTGAGACATGCAAACACAGAAGGTGAGGAGAGCAATCTCTGGCCTTCCCAGTTATGGCAAGGGCAAGCTCTACTAAGCGACATAGAACTCAAGAACAGAGCCCTAACTGAGGGTTCTGTCTCTCACCTTCTCATCCACGCAGCGGAAGTGTACGGATACACAAAATCTGTTGTTCTCAACCTTCGCGCCGGGTATGGCTTTGGTCTTCTCCACCAGAGCCTTGTACACCTTCAGAGGTGAGTAACCAGAGAAGAAAAACAGAGACCCGTTAGAAAGGACCTGGTAAGACAAGGCGGGGGAGGGAAGAAGCTGAGCTCACCTCATCGATCATAAGGAGGAACTCGCTGGCTGGCTGGAAAAGAACTGATTTGCTTCCCTGCAGCAAATCCACGTCACGTTAAACCAGGAACAATCCGTAGAACGAAACAGACTAAATCTCTTTGTCTGTCTGTCTCTCCCCTCCTACCTCTGTATGTAGATATATATTTATATAAATGGATATGTGGATCCACTCTTCTGGGTCGGAAAGCATACCCTGGTGCATTTACTGCCGATGGACGCCTCAGGACCTTGGATATCCATGCCATGGCTCCCCGCGTAGTAAAGCTCCGCAAGTTGCACAAAGCCAAACACCTGCACCGATGCATGAGAGGTCTTTTAGAGCAGCAAAGGTTGAAAACCTATCGCTAGCCATCGTCGAAAAGGAAAGAAGACAGAAACAGAACAAGTTATGGTGTTGGATGAGATATTAACCTTGTCCTTGCATCTGCCGCTGACAATGGCCGTGGGGAAGTACTGGGCCACGTCCCGGACGGCCTCCCTCATCTGAGGCAAGAAACGAATCAGACTACAGAAAACTTTTGTTGGAAGTACGTGAATGGGGAACAGAGGAGGAGAAGGGCAGGAGGAGGAAGAGGAGGGTACTGGAGACGAACCGCTTCAGACATGAATGCGACCTCGGGGTCGTCGACGATGGGGGAGAGAGTCCCGTCGTAGTCGAGGAACATGGCTATCTGCTTCCCCTTTGACATGCCCACAATCTCCTCGAACATGTTCAGCGCCGAGGGATGGTCGCGCTGCGAATGGTGGACCGACGTCAGCAATTCCCAGGAAGCAGAGGCCCAAGGGGAGGACGTACAGAGACAGAAGCAGAGGGAGAGAGAGCGAGAAAGAGAGAAAGTTGGCGACTCACCATCCAGGAGAGACGATCGTCGTCGTCAGTCAAGAGCGCAGTCGGGGCTTTGAGGTGCGTCGGGGAGGACGCCCTCATGGACTCCAACGAGACGAAGATCCTGCCAGAGTTTGGAGCCCCGCCAATGTCCACCATCTTCAGAAAACTCTTCTTGCGGGCGTACCCCGGGGACGCCCTCGGCGGGGGGTAGGGAAACATGGGAGAGGAATTCGGGACAGCGGCCGGCGGCGGCACCGCCATGGTCACCGCCTCTTGCACCACCACATTCTGCGTCGTCATGCTCACTTTCAGAGGGGGAGAGCAAGCGCAGGTCTGCGGCACAGAGAGGTGGAGAAGAGGGGAGAGAAGATCTTGTGCGAGGAGAGAGCCTGGAGAAAAGGGAGTGGAGCGCTGGGCGGGATCTTGCGGTCGTTTTATAGTTGCAGAAGGCCGGAACCGGACACCCCGCGGGGCCCACATGGTGAGCTATTGAGCAACGAGAGACCCACGTGGGGACCCACACCCCCTCCCCCGCCTTACCGTCCCTAAAATGGTAACAGGCCTGACGCGATGGCAAGTATTTACCAGTCTCCACCGAGACGGTGGACTGGGAGAACCCACCAGTCAACACACGTGCGTAGCTGCACGTGCCTACGATTGTTCAGTGCCTAATGAGAGAGAGAAGACGTGCAGTATGCGAGCCCGCGTTGCCAACCGTCTCGTAAACCGGCGACGGAGGCAGAGGAAGCGGAGCCCGTGACCAGGATTCCTCCTTTTCCACAGGTAGTTAATCGAATTATTTTATTTGACCGAACTGATGACATTTTCCGTTCCCGCCGGCCAGCGAAGACGCGTTCGGGGTTCGCCGGCGAAGGAGTCCCTCCCTTTCGGAACTATGAGCCCGGTTTCTCGAGGCTTCGGTGGCATTTGGGGGGAAGCACCGTCCCCACCCCTCATAGGTTCCTGAAAGGGCTAGGCATTTTCTCCCTCTCTCTCTCTCTCGTATACACACGTATAGTTCATGAAGGTGCACGAAAAGAGAAGTCAAAGTGCCCCAAACCCGGGTTTGCTGGAGATGAGGAAGACAGGAACAGTGGATCTTCCCGACACGCCTTCGGGAGTTCCTTTAGGCTCTCTCTCTCTCTCTCTCTCTGTGTCTCCGCTCCTTTGTTTGTGCGAGCGCAGAGGGGGCAAGCTGACACTCGTCCATCGAGGCCCTGAGAGGTGTAGTCACGTTGTGCCGGGGGTGAAGCCCGGATGGGGAAGGGGGCGGGAGGTGACGTCTCGTCTTTAATGGCGGGCTCACTGCGCCCGCTGTCCTGTTCTCCCCCCTTCTTCCCTCTCTTTCCAGGGAAGCAACAAACTTGGAAAGTTTCCCCCTACCTGTCGCCGCTCTCTTCCACATCATTTCTGAGCTAGCTAGAGAGAGAGAGAGAGAGAGATGGGAGCGAAGTGGTGGAGCTGGGGGCGGCGATAATTGATGGGGGAATAGCGAGAAGGGACGAAGAGGAAGAGACTTGTGGATGTAGGGGAAGCCACGGCTTCTGCAACAATATGTGCTTTGGTGCTGCGGACAGGGGCGTCCTTCATCATATGGGAGAGGTGGCTTTAGCAAAGAGGTGACACCGGGTGAAAGGATTGCCACTCTTGGAGACCAAAAGCTGACCATTCGTGTAAAAAACAGTTTAAATATGGAGAGAGAAGGAGAGAGTGCAGAGAGGATATTGAGAGAGCAAAACTAGAGGAAGGAGAGCGAGAAAGAACGACAGAGAGAGAGAGAGCGAGAGAGAGAGAGAGAGAGAGAGAGAGAGCAGATAACTCGAGATGAGTAGAGAGAGGAAGGTAGGCACTAGCAAAGATAGATAGCGAGAGAGACAGAGAGAGGAAATGGATATACGTAGAGGGAGGAAGTAGAGCGGATAGAACTAGAGGACCAAGAGAAAGAGAGAGAATAAAAAGTAGGGAAGAGATGACAACAGAGTTGGCCTTTCATTGAAACTCTGGTAAACTCCAATACGTTTCATGTAAGAGATCCTCAGGGAGGCTGTGAGGATTATTCCACCGTATTATCGTGGCAAATACTGTGCCTTGAATGATCATACGAATCTTATGAAACATTAAAGGGTACATATTCTTCCCCTAGTTGGTAAACCTTGCTTCTGTTTTTCTCGCTCAGAGAGAGAGAGAGAGAGAGATAGAGCATAAGTTCAAGGTGGGCTTCGCTCGTGTTGGCTTGGTGGCAAGTGGACGGCAAATTACACCCGTCCACACATGGCTGTTACCCCGGAAACCCCACCGCCCAGAAATCCAATTCGGTCACATGCCCGCAAGTGCATCCTCACATTATCATATTCACTTCACTTGAATCTCACATTACCATATTCCCCGCGATATTATTTATCATCAATTAATAAAGAAACTTTGACCACACCCGTAGATTAAGAGCCCTCTTATTCGTATTCGTGGCTGGCCGGACGGCGACGTGTCCCTGGATCCTGGAGTTTCCTCTCTCCATTAATTAATCCTTCTATCCAATTATAACTCACCGAGTGATGGTCGCTCGCTTTATTGGACTCTGACGGATCAACGGAAGCTTCTCCCTTGCAACTCACGTCTACGTGGCTCAAGTTGAGGAGTGGGCGGCGCCTCTGTTGGAGGGGTCTAGGCCCATGCTGTGGGCCCAAAATACTAATTATCTGCCCATGCCTGGGCGCTTAGGTCGACACGTGTTGCATGTCGACATACCGGAGCGACACCTGCCCACGTGGCTAAGATGAGCCGACTGCCTGAGACCGCACGTCTGGGGCCACATAGCATCTTTTTCGTCCGGGATTTCCTAAGATACTTAAATGCGTAGTTTAATCAATTATTTACCGAACAATCCCATGCAAAAAGCGTGGTCACTCTGCCGAGTCGCCACCGATTCCCGGTCAACCTCCGCCGACATCAACTGCCCGGGTCAGGATCCCCACACACACACATCCCCCCTCCCCGGTTCGTTTGCCTGAACTTCTTTGGGGGGTAGGCTAATTATTTTATTTTTTCAGTTTTTACTTTTTTATTGCTTCTTCTGGAATCAACCCGACTCTGAGAAACAAGTCAACGAGTAGCCAGTATTTTTCACGTTTTATTGTACTTTCAGTAGAAAAAAAGGGTATCGGCAATTTTACAAACGATCTGACACTTTCCTCGCAGTCAATGTCTATTTAAGCGTGCACCTATGCATCCATCATCCCCCTCTCTCTCTCTCTCTCCACCCCCCACCCCCACAGCGCGCCCCGCCCCCCCCGCCCCCCCCTCCCCCCGCTCTACGTGTCAGTACAGATATCGATCGGTCCCAAGTGTAATAATATGAGCCCGATGAGACACTCCAAGACCAGGACCGTGAGTTGAGATTCAAGGCATCTACGTACGGCGACCACGAGGCACTCCCACACGCCTTCTCTAGGTCTGAATCACCAGCGCGTCCCCAGGGACCCGGAATCGGTATCAGGGTTGGGCCTGTCGTAATGGTTTGGCCCGGATGACTCAGGCGGGTCCACCCACCTTCCTACACTGCCTACCTTTCCCGGTCCATGAGAAGGAAGAGTGAGAAAGCATAAGAATGAAGAAGTCTTGGAAAACCTTGAGAACCCTATAACAATCCTTATTTTTCCTGAGTTGATTTCTTGAAGTCCTAGAACGGGTGTAGATTGGTCTCAAGTGTCCACAAAACCCCGGATCCGCCCCTTTGCCCACCCTACATTGTTTTCTATATATTCCCCATTTCCCTCTCTCCCCGTCTCTGTCTCTCGCGATCTTGTTTATATTATCTTCGCTTTACCATCGCCCTACCTCTCTCTTGAAATTGAGAGAACCTTCGCACCGTCACGTCTAGCATCCAAGATTTCTATCATTGGGCAGATATATTTTATGATTTCCACTTTTCCCGTCAAACAAGGACGTGTTGGGAACCCTAAGCCCCGCGAGTTCTCCGAACTCGGACACCTGCATGGAGCTACAAGGACACATGGATTGGACCCCACAAGGCGGGGAAGAGGCAGGGATAGGGGCTAGGTTAGAGCTGATGGCCTTTCCACGCGCAAGGGGATCTCCTGAGTGGAGTTACAGAAGACTATCCCTCTTCAATGGGACTTTCAACGGAGACCGGATGGTTATTCCAGGTGGGGAGGTCAAAGTTCATTGCCTTCCTGGGGGAAGCGACCATTGAAATCTTCAAACTGTAGTCAACGTAGAACAATGAAAAGAGTTGTGATATTTTCAACATTTTCAGGCACTAGGATTTTCATGGTGGGGACAGAAGGGAGCTCCATGTTGACTTTGATGATGATGATGATGAGAATACCTAACTTCGCCTTACCTACGTTTGGTCGGATCAGGTTTGCCTTCTGTTTTCGACAGTGGGCAGGTCTCCTGTCCCCGTCCATTTATGAGGTGGCCATGCAGTACCTCGGAAGCAATCTAGACCCTGTGGATAGTCACTGAGGACGGGTTAATGATGTGTTGGCGTAACTATGCATGAGACAAAACATATCCTTAGCCCGAGGTTGACAAGGACACCGAGGTTCCCTACTGTGGTATTTCCCCCGGATCATGAATGGGGAGGCCAACGCGAATATCTACAGATGAGGCAGAAAGTCTTCTCATTCAATGGATGAGGGATGATCCCTCTAGAAAAATTAGGGTCGGGGTGTAGGAAGTGGATGGTTGAAGGCTATCTAGAGTAGAAATCATGACGAGAAAGTATAAGAGTCTAGAGCAATAGACGGGGGTGATCCAATGATATGTGAGCAACTATTGCCTTGTTTGTCGTCGTTAACGCATCTTTCAAGGTGACCTACTCGTGCAGCAACTTTATTTGCATCACGAGTAGGTTGCAGAGGGGACATGGCAGCTGTGGGCAACCCAATCTCGTCTCCCTCTCTCGCTCTCTCGCTCTCTCGCTCTCTCTCTCTCTCTCTCTCTCTCTCTCCCTCTCTTCCTCTCTTCCTCTCTTCCTCTCTCTCCCTCGCTCTCCCTCCTCTCTCCCTCTCTTTTCCTCTGTCTATCTCTCTGTCTCTTTCTCTCACTGGATACTTGTGGAAGTGACCTCAACCTCTGCAGAAGTACCCATCAATGAACAACTACCTTTATGCACACGCTGGAGGGCCCACAGGACAGCGGGGGCCAAAGAAGACTCTGAGAATGGTGAGGCAGCAAGCCTCCACAGCCATTGCAATAACCATAGTCACTCACAGGTCAAATCCTAAGCGCCCACTATGGCCTAAATACTGAGGGGACGGCGGTGGCTACTCATCTTC